ATCTGTACAGAAGTTTAATTAGATCGATCTTGCCAGACTCAATCTAAGTTAGACTACCTCCAAGGTACAGTTGACTTTGATTGGGTCAACCATTTTTAGACCAATCTAACCTTCCTGAAGTCTGTACAGGTTGCACTTGGATTGACTTAACTAGGGATCTAAGTGTAGGGTCTGTACCTGGACAAAATAAGTTAGATGAGGTGGCCATTTTTAACATGACTGATTTCCCCCTAACCTCCCTGTATATACTCCTGGTCAAGCCCCCTACTAAACCATCCCAGTCAAGTGCCTGTCTAACCTGCTCTTGAAAATGTCTAGAGATGGAGAGTCCACAAGCTCCACAGGTAGCCTATTCCAATGCTTGACTACCCACGCAGTGAGAAGGCTCTTCCTAATCTCCAACCTAACTTTCCTCTACTATATTTGAGGCCATTGCTCCTAGTTCTCTTCCTCCAAAATAAAAGATTTTTCAACGTTTTGCATCATTTTAACAAAATCCAATAAAACTCACACTTTTGACAGCTCCATTTCTAATGTGGACAAGCTGTAATTGACTTCTGGAATTATATTAATTTATTTCTTCAGTGACAGACTGTAAATTTAACAGATTCAATGCTGAAGAAAGAAGACTAAAAGATTTTCCATTGAACTCACCATTTGTCCGTCCTTTCCTGGAATACCAGGCACTCCAAGAGACCCCTGGTGAGAACCATATAATTAAGTTTAGCAAGTTAAACAAAGCAATTTTAAAACATTTCAGCCCTGAAATACAGTACTTTAATAAAGAATTATGTTGAACATGGACGTCCTAAGTGCAATATATTTTTTTAAGTATAGTATTTTTTGTTTACCCGCTGTTGCAGTTCAGCGGTAGAATCCTTGTCTGCCACATAGAAGACCCGGGTTTGACTCCTGGACATGCTACAGTCATTGAGGCACTGAATATCTAGACTTGTCTGGCCTTTGGATATTGTATCAATGGCCTAAAGAGTAGATGGAAGGTCTGGGCATCCTCTACTCCTCCATACTCCCACCTAGGCATATACACTGAAGATTGTGGTGACCTCTCATGCATACATCATGATCCAGAAACATCAACAGCTGCCTACTAGTACTATTGTTATCTCTTTCCCACTTGACCTTCTGCATTAATTAAAAGTGCCCTAATGTCAGGTTTATAAATTACTGGGTTATTCACAGTGTCTCCTACTTCATTACCCAAGTTCAAATCAATGATTATATTGCTAGGTTGTGAATGCCTCACTAGGAATTAAGGCATTAAAATGCAGTTCCTTTTAACACTCTAGATGAAGACTGATCCCGCTAAATCTAGCATTTGTGCCTGTGTGATCAAAACTGCTCACATGGAGAGGCAAGCTTTAAATCCAATGACTGGTAGCACTGATCTATCTTTAGTGCTTTTAAGGGATAAGTGGTAATAATTCAGTCTGGCTTTGCAAACCATAGCTATCTTTTTAAACAGCATCAGTGTCACTTACTGCAGTCAAAATTTTAAAAACCACTATAGATCAAACACGAAGCAGATGTGAAGAAAGAATTTAATGGCAACATTGGAGGGATTTTTTTTTACAAAGCTTTAGCATAAATTCCAACTTCTTTCTGGTGCACAGTTTTTTTGTTATATTTTGTACAACTGTCAATATGGATTTTATGTGACCACTCAGGGGTACAGGAAAGCAGCAGTATAGTATCTGCTGACATGGCAGCCTCTGTCTCTCCTTTTTTTTAAACCCACACACAAGTTATAGTACAAAAGTAAATTGAAACCATCAGTTTATTTTTCATTTTTTAAGTTCATTATGAATCTAGATCAGAAGGTCTAAATATCTGTTGAAACAGGCTTGTTTTAAAATGAAGGGGGAAAAGTGGAGGAATCAACATGGACATGGCAAACTCTTGTCCAGCCCCCTTTCAAATAAATGTGGGGCTCCCTATAAAGCCATTCAACCAGGTTTACTCTATACAAGACAAAAGAATCAGTGTGCTGTATTCTTCTTCCAGTCAGATGTTTATATGACTTATGAGGTTCAGCTCACTGGCACAAGTCAGGAGACAAAGAAGACATTAAGGATTGTGTCCAACACTGGTGGACAGATGGGTTTATGAGAAAAATGGATGGAATAGTATGATTAAATAAGAGTATGTGGAAACCTGTGCCCCCAGACAGGGCTGCAATTAAAGGAAGAACATCTTGAATTCCGAGGAGGCCCCAGCTCTACTCAACATGGAGCTGTGCAGCACTAAGAAACTTTGCTTTCCAAATCACATGCCACTAGAACCTTATCTAGAAATACCATACTGGTATTTCAACCTGTCCTTGGTGAAGTGAGGCCCCAAGGTCATGGAAACACCTCTGAGTTTGCAGACTTGGCAGCATTGTCTGAATTAGCCTATTTGCTGCCTGATGCAAGACCATGAATGCTAACCAGGTATAAGGGGAAACAGTGAACACTTTCATATACTTTTAGGGCACTGACGGAAGTGACAGTTTGTTGTGTGATTTGGCCTCTGAAGCACTCTACATTCATGCACTGGCAGAAGTGCATGGCTGCAGAGCGCTTTAAAAATGTCTGATTGTTGCACAATCTGAACCCTCATTACATGAGGATTCATATCAAAGCGCTCCAAAGCTAAGCACCTTCATTAACATCTGTCAGTGCATGCTAGGAGCAAGGTTGGGCTGCAGCAGCCCAGCCTCAACCCCAGTGCTGTTTTCAGAATGAGAGCCGAGGGAAAGGAGGGGAAGAAGCTTGGTCTGGGGTTTGCCCAGCCTGTGCTGGAGGGTGAGGCAGGTGTATTGGAGTGCCTCCCCCC